CTACGAACAATGTATTTCCACGAAGCTCACTAAAATTACACTCTGGAAGTTTTCCAAAAAAAAAAAAAAAATTAATCCAATTCGTTTTCATCCAGCTGTATATCCAATTCTTTTTCATCCAGTTGTATATCCAGATATGTGTAATTATCCATAAGCTCAACAGACTAATTCTCGAATCATCAGAAATGGTTTTTTTTTTTGAATATTTTCGAAAAAATCGACTGCTTTTTATTCTTGACTTAATCAACTTCTCGATCGAATATGCGCGAAAATAATTGGCCAACGCACTGACCACCGGCGCGAAGATGCATTTTTTTGCATAGTTACTCGCAGATTTTTGGCACCAACAGTACTGTTTTTTTCCGGCAGATGCCTCTGGCTAAAAGAATTGAGACTGGTCACCATGACTGTCAGAAAACATCCCTTTAAAATTTAAGCTGTCTAGCTCCCCTGGTTTCCCAGTTAGCAACTTGCTCGCCAAAAACTTTCACGGGTCCGTACGTAACAATCACTTCGGCATGAACGTTCACTTCAGAGAGAGCAGCTCGCACATGCTTGTAGATTAAGTTACCAAAGTTTCAGCCTTGTATTTTATTTTTTATACATCCAGAGATAAAAACTCGTTATAGACAAATACACAGACACACACAGACAACCCCCTGACAATATGCATTTTTGCATTACATAGATGCAAAAAACCGCAGGAAAACATCTTCAAAAGCTGAACATACACTGAAATTTTGCATGAAAAATAAAAAAAAACCTTCGATTCAAAAAAGGAAAACTTACTAATCGAACATTTTAACGACGCAGCCCGAATCTCTCAAACTTATAAGTAGCTTAATTTCATTCAAATAAGCACTACGACATGCAGCATCAGCTTCTGATAAATCTACACATTTCACTGCTTGCAGCTTTTTTTGCTCCTCATCCAGTACTTGATAAACCTGAAAATATTCCATGCACTATAACCTGGCTTCACAAATTTATTTGGTACGCCAAAATCAAAATTTCTAGCAAATTTTTGTGAAAATATCCCTTCCCGTTTTTAAAGATGTTACATATTTTTAAAAATTACTTGTATAATAAACTCTTACTACTTATTAATTACACTAAACAAAAATTTATTTGGCACACCAAAATATTTCCAGCAAATTTTTATGAAAATACCCCCCTCCCCCTCTTGACGATGTTTATGTATTTTTAAAAATTATTTGTATAATAAGCTCTTACTACTTACTAAATTACACTTAACAAACACTTAATTACACTCAATAAAAACTTATTTGGCAAGCCAAAATTAACATTTCTAGCAAATTTTTATGAAAATAACCCCCACCTCCACACAAAAACTTTACACTTTGTAATTAAATTAATTATAACTTTAAAATTACAAATCAACTTCACTTTTAAGGTAGAACTTTTCATTTATTATAAAAGGAAAAGTACCAAGCTTGAGCCGCCTTTACCAAGCAAGTTGATTACAATATATCGACGGTTCTTCACTGCTATATAGCGATTGGTTCGCGAACAGGAAGTTGATTCGGAGCGACGCAATTTTGGACTTGCTACTTCGACTGCTGCATTTCTCTTCGGTGCCGCCACTGCTCCAGCTGCTTCTTCCTGAAACTTATTTCTGAATGCCATATGGAAACAATCTACCTGAATTTTCAAAAATAAAGGCTATTTATGTAACTGGTAAGGAAAACCCTCATGCCTAAGTCCTATTAAATCATAAAAAACACATACTTTTTTTGGTTACTACGTTTTTCAAGTTTTCCAAATTTTCAAGAAATATAAAATTTAGGCCCAAAAATTCACTTAACGTCAGTAGGTTAGCACAGAAAAAAGTATGTAGATTTTAGCAAAAATACTAAAAAAGTCAGCCCGACTCTTTCAATCTAGCTTTTCTGCCACTACGAAAGAAAAATTCAGCAGTTTTATCCCCAAGACAGCAAACTAATCGTTAAACTACTTCCTCCGCTCGAGAGGCTCC